ATAGTACAGGACTTTTGCAAAAACATGGACTTGGCAAGCTCAGTGAGAAGGGTTTAATTTCACACAGTAGTGCTTTAAGGTGGAAAATATCCGCTGTAGTGAGATGATACTCAGCACTATGATGCTGAATGGCAGCATAATAAAGATGTGCAACTGAACGGCTAGTAGGAATTTGATCCATCCCATCACTGAACCCCTAGCTGGCCTTGCGGTTCCACCGAGAGTGTCTTTGACAGACTGAGAGGGTGTGAGTGCTTCCCAGCCGGCGGGGATGAATGGGCCGTCTGGGCAGCGCAGTAAGAGTGGAGCCTGTAGGCCAGAGACTCTTCTGGCTCGCAGTCAACAGACCCTATAAACAGTGGTGCTTATGTGCTGAGCAGGGGCCACTAGGAGGCAAGAATAGCCTTGACAAGACATGAACACCAGTCTGCAAAAAAAGAGAGGGAAAAAAAGCATGAAGTCAACACATGATCAGCGTTCTCCTGACCTTTCCCTGATTACCCTCTCCACCCTGTTGTTGTGGAATAGAAAACATTACTCTCAGATCACAGGGAGACGTGTACCTGATATAGACATTTTCAGCCTTTTTAATTCAGAATACAGCTGACTTATTTCAGTTCTGTTGCTTGTGTTACAGTTGGGCTCTTCAAAGTGTTATGTCAATGGAGGAAGTTCCTGAGTCGAGCAGCACATTATGGCCAAGCACTTCCTCAGGTCTCACAGCTTGATCTCACTTTGCTCTACCGTTTCCCCACATGTTGTTTCAGTGCTCTGTATTTGATCTCATTGATTCTACTTTCCCACAGAAGGAAGCAGACTCTGTTTGTGCAAAATTGTTCTTTTGTTTCACTAAAAGACTTTAACTGGTGAGTCTTGCAGTTGCAGGTAATATTTGTCTGTATAAACATATTATGTGCATAGCTGAATGTTGCTCTTTCGGATGTTGTGTACAATTTAAATGAATTGGTGTAGTTATAAAACACATTGTGGAAGAGCTCTGTGTGTTTGCCTTCAAGCATTGGAAATTATCTTGTTGATCAGCTGGAAAAAAAACTAAAATAGTAATGTCAGTTTGTAGAACTTGTGGTCACAAATATTAACTCTTTATGGTGCTCTAAAGTTGATTAGTTCAAACAACGTCACATTGTCTGTCCAGATGGCCACTGTGTCATATTACAGTAGGTCATTGTGGTCCTTCCGTGACTTGGTCGAGAGACATGTCAGCCTGTGCGTTAAACCCTCGAGCGATGTAGAGCGATTTTTGAGACTGAGAACTGTCATTCAAACAGCGTCTTAGAAACATTTGACCCCCCTACCCCACATTTGCCTTTTCACTCTCACTGTCCAAAAATATTTTTAGTTTAAAAAAACGTACAACAAATTGCTTTTTTGAGTGAGTAATTCCACCATTCCTTTGGGAGGTTTTGCCTTTATTAGCTAGGACAGTATAGAAGCAGACAGGAAACAAGGAAAGAGAGAGAGAGGGGTGTGACGTTAAACACAGCGCCTTGGCTAGAATTTAACTGTGGACATGTGTTTATGTGGTATGTGCCACAGAATGCACACTGTTAGGAAGAACACACTGTGTGCTTTCGCTAGAGAGGGGGGGGGGGGGGGGGGGGGGGAACAAAGTGACACTGGCTGACTAAACTATCTTTTTTATTTTCAACGATGTGTTTCAGTGTAAGGCCTTCATGGGGGGGGGGGGTTATGCAGCATGCTCAACTTAATGTTGACACTTTTTTGATGGGAATGCTCTTCATATACAGAGTGGAATTGGTTTCATCATGACCTACATTCATACACTGCTAAACAGGTCACCATATTCTTTACTTTTTTAAGAGCATGGCAGTAGCTAGATAGCAGCCAAAAAATTTTTTCATCTATTTATGCTAGTGTGTATGTAAACTATCATCCATCATGTGTAAAAGGAGACCAGGTGTTCTTGGCATGTTCCAGTTCAGGTTCTGTCAAGGTAACTGTCCTTGAGAGAACCTCTTTGTGTAAGGCAGGCTTTAAAAAAAAAAAAAAAAATTAGCTTGTTCTTCAGTGTGCTAGCTAGCTGCAGTTCCTTTCCCTCATAACAGATGTTGACACTATTAGGTCCAAAGGAGGGGGAGGATGCTAATCTGCACAGACGGTCCTCTGTCTGACACAGCTCTGATAGCTCTGCATTATAAGCTACACTGCTCTGTCTGTTATGCTATGTAGTAGCCTGGCAGTGTGACAACTGTTCTCACAGTGGGTTAGCTAGTAGCTACATCTAGAGGTCATCATTACAGTGGATTGATGTCAAGAGCTTGAGACCTCTGTTCACTGTGAATTCTCTTTGTGTTGAAGTCTTTTCCTCTCGTTGAATTTGTTATGTAAATTCTTCCCCAATTAGAATATTAATTGGTTGTGACTAAGAACATTCAGCAGTGCAGTCTGATGGTATATTTCTGTAGTTCTTTCACTGGACATAGCAAGCTGTCTATTACAAGCAAGGACGTGGGGTTGGAACTGCACCAGAAGCCAGCCTAATCCATTTACAAAGAATAGGCCTGTTTTAAAAGGATCCCCATGTCTTTCTACATGAATTCATTTTCTTTGCAGATGTGTTTGAACAAGAAACACTGGTATTTGGCAGAGTCAGGGCGTCTGCAGGGTCTTAAAAATTATTAAAAGGTAATAAACTAATTTTGTAAAAATTAAGGCCATTCAAAATCGCAATTTTACAAGGACTTTGTATACTAAAAGTGTTGGTGAATTTATTTATTTATATTGTATAGGCATATATACTAGATGGGCAGAGCTTAGCGATTGTGGGATTCTTCTTCAGAGGTATTTCACTTCCATACACCCCTAAAAATGGATACATGCAAACCGAAAAAATTATTTACACACAATGTGTGAGTAGAGACTATAAACTACCTTAGTCTTCCACCACCCCACATTATTGTTGTTGTTGTTGTTATACATTATCTAACTTGAACCAACTAAAACACAGAATTACACAGGGTTACACATAATTTGCAGTAATGTTGCGCACATAAACGTCATAGCCTACATAAGTATTTTTTGCAGGAACATAGAACTCAGGACATAGAAAACAGTATTGCAACTGAGGAATTGGTGAATGCCTCTATTTTAGGTGACGAAACATCCTGTTTACACATTGGCAATAAAATGTGATTAATAAATTTCCTTTTAAAAATATGCCACAATGCACCTTTTAAAGGTGTGTGACCGACTTACACGGTTACAGCTCAAAGTGGCCCGGTGGTCTTAAAACATATTGAAAAGGTCTTAAAAGGTAGTGAATTTTATTGTATACCCTGCATAGTAGATTCACATACACTCAGATGCAGTTTTATAAGGTACACATAGCTAAAACTAATAGCACCCTTATACAACAGCCCAGCAATACATACTACCTAAAGGTCATAGTGTTTAGCTTTTGTTGAAATGGTTTTACAGAGCTGTTTATTCAACTTTATAGCCAATTTTGAATTTGTACTTTGTAGTGCTGTTCTGAGTGAGTGTATTGTGATATACTGAGACGTGTTTCTAATATTTAGTTGTCCCTCATTGCTATAAATGACACGCCAAAAGAACTGACAACTGAGTGTGTATGACAGCATGGCATGGGTTTGTATACACGCTTACAGTTGAGTTGTGAAAGCTATTGTAAATTGTTTTTCTGAACCGCAATGTTCCCTCTTCCTTAAACATAGATTGTAAACAATGTAGATGTGTGTCACCTCCTTCTCACTTCAGTAGCCTGTGTACGTGAATTTCCTGAAAAGCAACAGCACCAGTATATTGAGGCACTGGTGTGTTTTTTACATTTCAGTGCTAACATTTGTTTCCTATTTTCTGACCTTCCTTCCTCCTCTTTCCTGCCCCTGCTGCAGGCGTGGTGGAAGGAGACTTGGCGGCAGTAGAAGCCTACAAGTCATCCGGTGGTGACATTGCCCGGCAGCTCACTGCTGACGAGGTGCCGCTCCTCAACCGGTCCTCTGCGTTTGATGTAGGCTTCACCCTGGTCCACCTCGCCATCCGCTTCCAGAGGCAGGACATGCTGGCCATCTTGCTTACAGAGGTAAGCATCCTCATAGATTTTGTTTGTCTTTGACACCCCGCTGGAAATACAGCGTTTTTGAGTAAGTGGACCCAAAAATGTACTACATATTTATTTAGCAGGTTATCTCGTGATTAAAACCCTCTCTACACACATATCTGCGCATGAATAAACCAAGCAGCAGAATCAGTAGTGAGTGAAAATAATAGGTTATCGTTTGACTTCCTTTAAAAGAGTGCATTCCACAAATTCTTAACAATCAAATTGTTTATATCACACAAGAAAAGAAGAAGTATTCCTGTAATTTTGATGCCATTCTGTACTTCTTCTTGTCAACCACGTCAGTCTGTAATTGTTCTGCACCAGAGTAGGCGATATATAGCAGATGCCCGTAATGCCTATAATTACAGCAGAAGTGCACTTTGAGGATTAGGTGGAGGATTAGCCTGGCTGCAGTCCCGTCACTGGTTCCTAATGGATGCGATGCCACAGAGCTGATGTAGCTTGCAAGGAGGGCAAGCAACGATTAGGAAAGGCACAGAGGGCTGCACTGTGAACCAAGTTGTGGAGGTTAGAAGAGAAAGATGACCTCTCTATTGTGTATGGCGGAATTTTGATCCTCAATGTATATTGTGTGTGTGTGTGTGGACACTCACTCACTGCTTTATTAGGCACACCATATATATGAATGAGGGTAGACTTAGGGTGTTAGTTATCAACGTTACTAAATAACATTTACCTTCATTTGATAGCATTTATTGCAGGGTTGGCGTATTACTCGGCATTCTTTTTTATTTAGGTGTTCTTAATAAACTGGCGGCTGAGTGTATATAAATAAGAAGGCTGAAGAATTATTATTTTATATATTATGGATTATCTCAAAACAAAAATGTATTGTGAAATAGTTCTCATATGAAGGCACGATAAATAAACAATTTCTTGTCCAAATGAATGATAACAAATTAAATTTGACTGAAATCGCTCATATTGTGAGATCTTAAAGATCTATTTGAGAGCATATATTTTGGAGGGAAATTAAAGGATTTACTTTCTATTGAAACACACTATTGCCTAACTTTTAATAAATAAATGCATGAAACAGGCCATGACACCAGTTTGTATTCATTGTTTTTAAATCAAAGCATCTGATCTGATCTATATCGGTGTATTTACCTCGAACTACCAATAAAGCTGTGTGTTTATGTGTGTTTAGGTGAGCCAGCAGGCAGCTAAGTGCATCCCCTCCATGGTGTGTCCCGAGCTAACGGAGCAGATCCGCAGGGAGATTGCAGCCTCACTACATCAACGCAAAGGAGACTTCGCCTGTTACTTCCTTACTGACCTAGTCACATTCACCCTGCCTGCAGGTACCCACGATATCTTGATGATCGCATCACTTTGGTTATTGGACTTCCTTCCTTATGTGTAATCTAACACCTGTATCCCTAGTTTAAATTTATTGGCCTCTCTTGACAGAATAATTTTTTTCAGTAGCCTCAATAATTGCCTCAAATTAAACAACATCCTCCCCAAAAAACAGTCTTAACATTCGTCTTTTTAAGGTCTTTAGGTGAAGCTTAACATTGAATACTGCAGGCTGCATTTACTCTGAAAAGGTAGAACGGAAAAAAATAATCTGTAGAAGTTTCTTCCAACAGTGTAAATGTACAGCATTTCAGTGTGTGATCTTGAATGTTTTTTACCCTCACTATGGAATTGGAGGAATGACCGCTAGCCTTGTTTTGCAGCATTGCTCAGAGAAACAGCAACTCGGTGCCCTGTCCCTGTGGCGTAATGTTGTCAGTCAAATGACATGCACTTTGCTTTACTGAGCTAAGTTGTATTCTGATTCAGAGCCGCCAGTGCTGCCGGAATGAAAGATTATGCAGGCTTCACTGATAAATCTGAATTTTTCCCCCCCGTTATGCCAAGTATTTCTTTGCAGACTGAATTTGGCCTGAGGCCAGCTACAGGACGCCCTCCCTCTGTTTCTGTCTCTCTGTCTTTCAGACAAAGCCAGTGCCATTCACTATTGAGCCAGAGAATAGCCACCAGTGTTCTGGCTTTGTGTGTGCACAGTTCAATACACAGAGAAAACACAACATGCTGTACAGAGCTTGTGTTTATAGTATGCCATTGACAAAATGTCAGCCAATGAATGGAATCGCAAAGAACATCCCCTCTGTGTGTCATTACTGTAGCATTTCTGTTGCCCTCGGCACTGTGTACCATTAGCTTATAATGAGCATGAAAACACAATATCTTTCCCGTGTTTGTCTTTGCAGATATAGAGGACTTACCGCCTGCTGTCCAAGAGAAGCTGTTTGATGAGGTGTTGGATCGAGATGTGCAGAAAGGTACCCAAGATTGTTTCATGTTTGTCTGGTTTCTGCAGGTATCCCCTGTCTGCATTCATTTTAAGTCCAATCATGTGGGTTAATGCTGCATTTTGGACTACTCATAACTCGAAAATATTCAACCTACTTCTAGTAAAAAGTACAATGGAACGCCACTCAAAGTCAGAGTTCCTACTTGTAAACTCGGAGCAATTCCATCTACCCTGACTTCATGAAGAAGCAGCGGCTGCACCCATGGAAAATAATACTCACAGTTACACATTTCCACTAGTGAATTCTGACCTCCAGCTTTGATTGGAGCGCAGCATTAGACCTGATGGGTTTTACCTGTGATTCATCATTTGACTGTGCTGTGGAAGGGACTAAATCTGCTCACCACCACCTATTTTATCTTCTATACCCCCTTTAATTACCTTAATTGAGCTCACTGGTTTCCCTCCCAGACACTTCACCAATGACACGCTCCCAGGACTGCCCTCTGGGTGGGTGTATGTTTGTGTGAATGCTTGTGAACATACATGTGTGTTTGTTTGTTGCACTGAAAGTATCAGAGGATTCTTGTGACCTATTTAAGCCTCCATAAACTAGGTTACTGGGGAGAAAATGCTGAAATGCATGTTATGTGACACACCATTTGTTTCTATAACATCTAGCTGCAGCGGTTGCATATCTGAAACACTCAACACACAGTCTATGCATCCCATGCTGAGTTTAAGAGATTAAGGACTTTTCAGTTAGTCCCTTTTTTAATTCTGGTTGTTCTATAAAAACCCAGCTTTATGTGTTCAGCTTAGGGGGGAAAATGCTACATTTGTTTTAAACATTTTTCTCATCTAAAAAGTTTAAACCATCCTCCTGTTTTGGGAAAGTTCCCCCTTGTTTTTACTACAAAAGTTTGATGAAGATGGGCGTGGAGCATAGCTTGATGGAGTCTATCCTGCTGTTAGTGCCCTCACCCAACACTGGTGCATTTTATCTGTCCATGTAAAGAGTTGGAAGAGGAATCTCCTGTCATCAACTGGTCTCTGGAGCTGGGCACGCGCCTGGACAGTCGTCTGTACGCCTTGTGGAACCGCACGGCCGGAGACTGTCTGTTGGACTCTGTTCTACAGGCCACCTGGGGCATCTACGACAAGGACTCTGTTCTCCGCAAGACCCTCCATGACAGCCTGCATGATTGCTCCCATTGGTGAGATACCCAACCCTACACAGAGTCCCTATGGTCAAACATTTGTCGGACTAGAAATGTAGCTGTAATTGTAAGTAATATGCAAAATGCTACCGATATTTCATTTCATCAATAAGCATGTCCTGAAAAAGGTTTTCCTGGTTGTCAGTGCTGTTGTGCCGTGCTGGCAGTTGAGCGGTTTTAATAATTTGAATTGGAGGCTTAGTGTAGAAGCATTTCCTCAGGATATTTTCATACTTCCATCACGCAGTCAAATACAAGATGTTTGATTACTTAGTAAAGGTGAGACATGAAAGTTGAGGTTGTGCTTTTAGTGGGTATTGCAGTAGGAATGTGGATGATTTTGTTATGTATGGGTAGGTTTCTTTAGACTTAAAAAAACTTCAGTCGTCTAAATTCAGTGTTTAAGTGTCTTTTTCTTTGCAGTTTTTTTTCTGTATGTTTTGTACTACTTCCTGTTAGAAAATCTGGTTGTTGAGATACACTGTAAAAGGATAAATAAACTGGTGCATATAAATAAATTACTACTATATAAGCAAGGTGACAGTAGTTAAAAATTTGCTTTACAGAAACTATTCAAAAAAGTCTTATGTCCATTTTTTAAATTTTTGTTTTTTAGGTTTTACACACGCTGGAAGGAGTGGGAGTCGTGGTACTCCCAGAGTTTTGGTTTGCATTTCTCTCTGAGAGAGGAGCAGTGGCAGGAGGACTGGGCGTTCATCCTGTCTTTGGCCAGCCAGGTAATTATGAGGTTCTCTCTGGTTTTTATGCACTTCCTTCCTCTAATTCACTTTCGATCGAAAGACAGAACATGCTGTGGTCAGTTTGTAGAGGGTGTGTGAGCTTCTCGTAAATGTGTTACGAGGGGCTAGAAGTTGTGAGGAACAGGAAAATACTAAGGAAATAACACTTAGAAATATATAAATTGATGCATTGTCACAGGCAAAATGGTGGGTTTATGACTAAAAAAAGTTTAGGTTTTTGGAAATTCAGATGTCATATGGCACCCAGTTAATTATTTGACTGTGACTTGTTTTTAGAAGATCATTAAACTGCTTGGCAGACAGGAAGTTTATCTCCTCTGTTATCCTTATTTGTTCAGAAAGAACAAACTGTGTACTGTCTCCTTTTTGGTTTTACAGACGGACACACCATGCTGTTTAAAGGCAGATTTTTCTTATATACATTTCTACATTCAGTATTTCTCACCAAAACGCATTGTGTGAATTCTTGAGGCTTAACACACATACTTGTTTTCTCTTTAAACTTACATTGTTTACATTGGTCAGCCAGTCAGTGAGATAGCTTGGCTGGCATGCACTATGCACTATGCATTTGCATTTACATTACTGTCCTCTGCAGTCGGCAGCAGTGTGATCACTTCACTTGCACTCTTATGTACGTACTGTACACCTTGTTTGTGTGTTAGTACCAGCTTATCAAACATTGATGATTGAGCCCCACAAGAGGTCCAAAACTCCACCTGGTACACTTGCCTTGCTGTAAGATCAGAGCAGCTGTGGTCGGGTTTTGGATTTCAGTGTGGATATTAATTTACATTTGTGGCATGTGCTTTCACTGCAATTTGAAAGAGCCACCACCTTAGAGTGACATTCTTAAACATGTTATTAAATGGACAGACTTGCAGCCCAGTTAAACTTCCTTTTGAAACAACACCAAGTTCAGTTTGCTTTGCAACATACTGAACGGCATGATCTAAATAAACAACGAAATCACTGCGAGGTAGAAGCGCCAAAAATGGACGGCAGGTTGTAACTGCACAGATCCTCCACTGTCAACACACACACTCATGAATACACAAAATGGTGAAATCAATTTAATATTGTCTCAGCTTTGTCTTATCTTAGTGCTTTTGGAGTATTGCTTATTAAATGTCATACCGATAAAGTAAATTGGTTTGAGTTACACTAAGTAAATAGGAACAGCAGCTGGAACAGAGTAGCACTGTGGCAGGTGGATTGTGTGTGAATTACCGGGAGGACATAGCAATTATTATAGACCCTAAGATTGAGTTGTAGATTGACAGATTGCTCATCTGCTGGGCTGGCGTGCCTGCTGAAGCAGCACTCCTTCCCAACACGTGAGCTTAGGATTACATGCATTTAGCTCAGAGAGCCACTCCACCGGCAGTATAAACAAACAGCAAAAGCTAACATGTGATAACCTCATCTGAGGCTTTGAGAGTGATGGATGACTTTGAAGACCCCTTTTTAAACATGAAATGTCATTGTAGCTGTGGTATATTTAAAAGCAGATATGCAGCCTGCTTTCTGCTTATATACATAGTACAACTGAGAAATGAGAAGGAGAGAGAGGCTGGCATGCAGATATACTCAGAGCTGCTTGTGTTGTAAGTTCACAGTGTGCAGGACACTCTGTTTTGTAATATGATCACAGTACTTGCCAGACTCAGCCTCCTCACTATTTTTAGTCGTATTGATTATGTACAATGGGGGGGTGTCTATATGATTACAATTACTGCTTGATGTGTAATTTATTTGTTTCTCTTTTTCCCTCCACTCAGCCCGGGGCCAGCCTGGAGCAGACCCACATTTTTGTTCTCGCACACATTCTTCGCAGACCGATCATAGTCTACGGAGTGAAATACTACAAAAGTTTCCGTGGGGAAACGTTAGGATACACTCGTTTTCAAGGTGAGGCAGCATTTGGATGAACCTGTGAGAGTATTTTATATAAGGAGTGTGCTAATACTTCTCTTTTTACCTCTTGTGGCATCTAGCTTGGTTTAATTTGATGTTCACAAACCTAGCTGGGAACAGGTTTCATTTGAAGTACTTTCTACTGAAAAAATCCCCATGAGACCTGTGACCTCCATTGTGTTTTTAGATATCTTGTCTGACTAGTGCAAATAAAATCAAAAACTATCTGCATAGCTAGATAAAACTGGAGGTCACATTATTTCTTTCTTTCTTTCTGTAGCTAGCTATACACACACACACACACACACACACACACACACACACACACACGCGTCAGAAATTTAGCTGAAAGCGGAGGTTGTATATCAAAACTAGAGAGAGCCGGGGTGCATAGTTGTAACAGACTATCTTTACCTCAGTCTGTTGTACTGCCTGTAATTTTGATAAATAAGATAACCTGATGACTCAGTACACATCCATTCAAACCAGTATGACGCCTGGCAGGTCATCATAACCACAGAATAACAATAGATTTAGAACTGGAGCCATAGCACTAGTTTGCATTGCACGCTAAGTGTCTGGTGATTTTTAGTGTGTGTTTGGAGCAGGAAGTAGGCCTGACAGAAGCTAGAGGGGGTGGGGGTGACTCCAGAAAAAGCACGGCACCAGGCTGCACCACAGAGCCGCTCTCTGCCCACAATGGGTTAGTTGTTTTCAGTCGGCTGAAACGCAGCCACATCTGATGTCAGGTCAGATTTGAGATGGGGCTTGGCCCTGACTGACAGACACACACACACACACACACACACACACACACACACACACACACACACACACACACACACACACTACTGTAATTTCAGTGTACAGCTGCAGGGCCTGCTCCTCCCAAGTGACTCGAGCATTGTGGCGTGTACAGCAGCTCCCAGCCGGCCTGACTCGCTTTGCATGTGGGTGTTGTATGTTTAGGTGTGTACCTGCCCCTGTTATGGGAGCAGAGCTTCTGCTGGAAGAGCCCCATCGCCCTGGGCTACACACGGGGCCATTTCTCAGCCCTGGTGGCCATGGAGAACGACGGCTATGACAATCGTGGTGCGGGCGCCAACCTCAATACGGACGACGATGTCATGGTGACTTTCTTGCCACTGGTGGACAGCGAGAGGAAGCTGCTGCACATTCACTTTCTGTCTGCCCAAGAGGTGTGTGTGTGTGTGTGTGTGTGTGTGTGTGTGTGTGTGTGTGTGTGTGTGTGTCTACACACACTTTATGGTGTCAGATTACCACAAATTGCTTCCAGCATTCGGCTGTGTAGTGGATGTTATGACTGTAGTGTCACATCTTAAATATGTCCCATTTTTGTTCCGCAAAAAGTAACCGCTTGTTTTGTCTGTGACTCAGATGGGCAACGAGGAGCAGCAGGAGAAGCTGCTGAGGGAATGGCTGGACTGCTGCGTCACAGAAGGAGGCATGCTGGCAGCCATGCAGAAGAGCTCCCGCCGCCGAAACCACCCCCTGGTCACCCAGATGGTGGAGAAGTGGTTGGACAGATACCGCCAGACCCACCCATGTGCCTCTCTGTCTGACGGTGAGGAAGAGGAGGACGAAGACGAGTGAGTGAGGGGAGGTAGAGAAAGAAAATAGCTCTTAATGATGAGACTGGACACTGTAGGCCCCTGGAGAGGACCTTACCATCTACATTTCTTTTTTTTTTTTCTTTCTCCAAAATGTAAATCTTAAACTTGTAATAATGCATGTGTTCTGTGAGCTCTGTGGTAGAAAAAAACAGCACCAACAAACAGAAACCTGATTACTGCTCCTATGAAAGCACATCAAGTCCACTTAGTTTGCCTTCCTATACCCAGATTTCTCCTTATTTGTTATCAAAGTAATTATCTCGACCTGAGAGAAACACTAGGATATATAGGAAAATATACTGTATTTAAGGTAATCCTGACAGGGCACTAGATGAGAAATTTCAGTTACAGAATTGCCTGACAGAAATTTTGCTTAAAACTAAGAGGATGCTAATCCTTGTGTGTATGTTAAGATTTAAAGAGCACCCGTTTTCCCTGATTGCTGATCCCTCTGCGAACCCCAACCGATGCTGGATTTATTTATTTGTTTAGGAGAGTTAGTGCGCGGAGGCGATACCTTTTTGTTCTGCCCCGTTTTATCTGTGTTCCGTTTGATCCGTTCAGTCTTGAAGTATTTTATTTTGCACAGATTATACCTACATTCTGTGAGGGGAGGGGGGGAAATAGGACGTGCAAGTTTACTGACATTTTTACGTGTGATTTAGAAGCTCATTGTCATATTGGGGGTGGGGGGGGTGGTGGGGGGGGGGGAGAACCAAACACTCTGCCTCTTTCTATAGAGTGCATTATAATTAAATTTGACTCACTTGCATCCGGTTTGTTTCCGTTTGTGTGTCTTCAAATTTCTCATGCTTGTGATTTGTATTAGTAAGATTGACTGTTTTTGACTTGCTAGTTTTCTATTGCAAAACACATTGGGTTGGGAATGTTTTTAAAATTTGATTTGCCTGTTCAATAGGAGACAGTCAATGCTCATATCAATCTAAATATAGTCCAGATCACTGTAGGATGGACACCTCTAGAGTGCGAAGTAGAAGCCTGTTTATTTATTTTTTTATTTATTTATTTTTTTTTAGAAAATCATATCTGTATTTCTGCCATCGTGAGCGTCCTGTGATTCAAAACCACAAAGGGGATTCAACAAGGACTGAGTCACTAGAACGGCAGAGAGCTTTTCATACAAAGAAACAGAATCAAAGTTAAATAATTAACAGCCTAGTGAGATTACATTTTACCCCTGAATTTTTGGCTTCAGTGTGGCTTATTGCTGTCACATTCATTTCCATCCATCGTCAACCGCATATCCTGCGTACAGGGCTGGAGCCAATCCCAGCTGGCATCGGGCATTGCAGGGCCACACAGACAACCAGTTCCACTCACGCCTAAGGACAATTTAGGGTCACCAATTAACTTAGTCTGCATGTCTTTGGACAGTGGGAAGACGGATTACCCAGAGAGAACCCACACAGATACGGGGAGAACATGCCAGGAATTGTTTATAGTTTGGTGCCCCCCTGCGATCAAAAATAAAACTAAAGGATGATGCAGATGGTGTAAGATTACAGTAATGGAAAGTATCATCAGAAAATTAAAATACTGCTCTAATAATGCAACAACAGGACAAAAAGTGAGTACAGACAGCTGGTTCTCAGAATCGTATCTTTTATTTGAACTGCACTGAATGCTAAATGTTCACCTTGTACAAGAAACAAATACAAATACTCACACTAAAAACAAAAACATACTGCTGGCTGCCTCTTCTGCTATTGTTGGGACACTAAGTAGGAGTTTCTGCTATTGCTCTTACAGAGTACAGGATGCCCCAAAGAACCTGGCCTTCAATAGAACAAAGAAAATATAAGAAGGAGAGAAGAGAGAGGGTGGATCACATAGGACTATGGTTATAGGAACATTTAACTAGGCAATACAAATCTAACAGGACTCTTCAAAACTCTTTAAACACCAAAAACGTGGGATGCGCCTTGTATATAAAAATACCACAATGGAGATAATGAGGGAGGAGAGAAAATATCCAGACTAACCAGATTAGTCTTAAATTGTTTTTTTTCTCAAAGACAAAATTCTGGGAATAAACAATATCTGCAAAAAAGTGTTTTCCTGAGTCATTAAGAAATTAAGTTTGATTTAACCCTTTCCTGTCTTTAGTGAGAAATGTGCTCAAAGAAGGGGGGGGGGGGGGGGGGGGTGTCACAATCTGTGCGCTGCTGCCACTAATAAGATTGGTCGTCCATTGGTTATCAGAAATGTCCATTTGTCAACAGAAGAATCAGATGTCGTTACACCAACTTCAGTAATATATATATATTTTTTTTTACGATTATAAAATGTTTTTCCTCTCAGTCACTGACACATCACCAACTCGAAGTTAAAAACTTATCTAGCAGCTCCCTCTAAATCCATATAATCTCAAAATTCTGCTACAATCAAAATGTATAAAGTTAGAATGTTTTGTTTAGTGTTAACTGCTGACAGCTTAGAAAAACATTCACTCGAAACATATAGGAGCAACTAAAGGTTTCTTTGATCACAGGTGCAGAAATCCCTTGCACTGTGTAGAGGTGCCCTCATGTGGTGAAATCCTGTAACTGCAACTGTGACAGCCGTCATACTCTATGTATTATTGCCAGGAAAGGGTTAAAACCCACTCTAGATTACTATAACTGATGAGCAATCTTTTCCTTTCATTTGACAAATGATAAATATATATAAGTCAATAATCCATTTTAAGTCATTCACACTGAAGATTGAAAGAAAAAATTAATAATTCTCTTCTGAGGCATAATGAGGGGCCTAAACAACACACATTAGTTACATAAGGAGGGTTGGAGCTGGTTAGAGGAGAGGTGGGGAGGATCAGGAGGGAGTTGGAGGGGAAATAAGGTCCAGTAGCACATGATGCCAAAGTTTTATTCTCTCGTTCACCCATTGGTGTGTTGAGATGTGGACTTACGTTTCCCATGAGCTCTGAGGTGTAGGGGGAGGGGCAGGACAGAGTCTCATTGGGTAATCCCGGAGCGCTAAAAACACTGGACTCTGTGTCCACAATCATAGGCATGTCCCGAAGAAAAAAACAAAATTAAAAAAAAAACATCATCATCAAAGAGTAAAGTCAGTACTGAGCCCAAAGAGACAGAGTAAAAACGAATACGTTAAAAGTACAAATTCCCCCGGAACACTTCTTTTGTTCCCAGTTGCTGGCTGATTTAACAGGCAGCCGCTTGTGTTGTTTCACTGTCTCTTGGTCCCAGTTGGTCGGTTGCTTTGCGATTGGTTAGTTCTGAACGTCGACAGGTCGGATGCGATGTTTGGATCTCTTCTGCTGCTATTGCTCGGTGAGGTGCTCTCTGGTCTCGCCATGTTTGGAGGGCTGGTTGGGCGACGGGGCCTGGGAGGGGTGTGTACCAGACGGCAGGGTGTGGGCGATGGGCACCCCACCTGGCACCATGCCCTCCAACGCCCCCGGAATGCCGCCCGGAGCCACTCCAACTACACCCGGTGGGTATCTGGGGAAGGGAGAGGTCGGAGGTTAGTGTCGCAGACTCCCAGAACGGATGTGTACTCACAGCCCACATTCCCAACACCATGAAAGACAGGATCCTCTGACAAAAGCTGACATCTAGTGATACTACTGGCTCTCTTCCACCACAGAAACTTTTTCAGGAAACTTTAAACAACTCCTGAGTTGCATTTCACCCTGTTAAAAGTCCCTGCTCTTAAAGTAGTATTTTCCAATGGTTTATGAATTAAGGGTTGAGGGAGTCAATTGTTGGTCATTTTTAGAGCAAAAATGGGGAAAAAATGACTAGTGCCAGATTTTCTTAGATGTCTTTTAGAGTGAACTGAATATCTTTGGGTGTTGGTCGGACAAAACAAGATAGCATAAGATCTCACCTGTGATGGGCATTTTTCCCTGTCTCCTAATATTTTATTTAAAAAGACGAATCAATAATGAAACTGATGGTTTTTGGCAGCCCACCTATACTAACTGTTCACATGTGGTTTGTACTCGGGCTGTAAATTAACCAGAAAATACTCTTTACAGACAGGTGCATTTTTAAATATGTAAAAAATATAAATTACAAACGAATACACACTGCATAGTCTCACCAGGTGAAAAAATTGTAGGGTTACAACTGCTGATTACTCTTGTTTTATGATTAATTATTTAGTCAAATGTCTCAAAACATCCTCTCGGCTTGTTTATAAGCTGTGAGTGCCCAAGGTGATGACTTAATTCAAAGATATTCAGTCCACAGTGAGACACATTTTAGCGGCGAATCCTCACGTTTAAGGAGCTGAAACCATTGCATGTTTGGCATTTTTACCTGATAAATGACTCAAACGATTATCAAAACTTTTTTTCAGCAAAAAAAAAATTGTAGCTCAACAAACATTTAATCATTTTAATCCGTTATGGGTATCATTTGCCTGATCTTTACAGTTCTTCAGATGCAATGGAAACACAAACAGGAATGCACAAAAGGGACTTTCAGTTCCTGACTGAGTTTCTGACTATTTGGTAGAAAAGAGCCATTGTGTTACAATATTCTGGAGCCCCCAAAGGGTCATTGTGGGAAATATTTTTCGGAACTATTTTTGTGTTAGCTCGCATTAAAGTTTTGCATTCCCTCTGATCCACAGAGAAAGGCTGAGCTGTATTATGATAGACTGCCACTGAATGTGACCACAACTCAAGTCAGTTCAGCCTCAGCTGCGGCTGGCTCAGGCTCACGTTTGTACCATTGCAGCTAAAGATAACTAGTGGAGAAAGTTAACCTAGCTCTCACAGACTGCTGCCGAGGCTGTGACAAAGTTTATAATGGTCTAATACTAAGTACATACATGAGTTGTGTATGTGCAGGAACTGGCATGGTTGTTTTGGCTCAGTGTTGTGTTGAAGCTACTGTATTCCTGAACTCCCATTGTGTATAACTGTTCAAATCCCATGTTGCTTTCTTGACAGGACCAAACCAACGCGCTTAAGAGTGGCTAAAGTTAACAGGAGCAGTAAAAAGTAGTCACGGTACAGCTGTCACAGCCATATCAATAGCACCAAATTCAAGTCTGAGCAATAACCATACATTGCTTTTCTCTAAATTGCTCGTATATTATGACTGGACTGACACTGAGTGTGCCGATAAATCTGGGGGAATGCAAATATTATTGTGTAGTAGTTGAAAACAAATCCCACTGTGACGACTCGGGGGCTCCATTAAGTAACACATTCAACCAGAGAAGGGAAAAGGAGAATTTGCCCAAAATCCCAATAGAAGGAAAGCACGAAGCATGACTCCATCCATGATACTGCATCTGAACGGCTTTATGGTCATGCTTACTGGGGACACTCAAAACCCACATTCACTGCCATCCATCTCTACTTGGTGTTCAGTCAAACAGGTGAGTACTGAGGGATTATAGTGGGGACACACATCAGGTGAGCTCAGGTGAGAGGGTCTTATCCGGGACCTCCAGACAAGAGGCTGTTGGCCCGGGTGGTTGTATTTACCTTCTCCTGATCTAGGCAATAATTTTGTCTTGGGGGGCGGCCGGAAGAGTTTGGTTCAGTTGGCTGCGTGAAAGAAGCACATGGAGGCGGACATACTGAGATCAGGAAGAGCCCACAGTGGGACATGGTGGGCAGAGAGTTATCTCTACTCCAACACAGGACAGTTAGCAAGGGGACAGGGCGCTAGGATCTCTAACAGAGTAGTGACTTCATTGTTTTAGAAACTGTAAAGGAAACTATGAAAATAACTTAACTAGACCAATTTATGAACATATTTAAAACACAATATAGGGGAATATGGAATAAAATGGCATTTTTTGGATTTCCACATTAAAATTGCAACAATGAAATGTTATAAAACATAACAATCAATACTAACTCCTTTTTATCAATGACTCAAAATTTCTCATTTGGTCTAATTTATGGCTTCCTTGACACAATAGCAAGACAGCTTTTTTCTCCCGAAGAATAATGAAATACATTAAAAACAAAAAGGGGTACAGAATACATTGATACACATTTACTAACATATTAAGGACAAATCTAAAATAAAATGAAGACAGTGCAGCTTTCAACATTTTTCTTTCTAAAATGGAAAGAGGGATGTTTGCTACCCATCTGCATGTTCAGTCCCTACCTGTAGGCAGCGCCGTTGAGCTCAGGGTGAACACCTGGTTGATCCATAACTGCCCACGGTGCTGTGGTGACAAAGAACTCTTTGTTGACGCAGTTTCTTAGGCTGTCGGGAATACGGCCTGTAGTATGAGCCAAACAAACACACACCCACACAGAGTTAAAAGCAGTGAAGCACACTGGGATAATTCACACACTCTAAATAGCCATAACTTGTTACAGGGGATGAGTGACCAGACGTCGCCAAGTGTTAATGAGTTCAGACTGACAAACATATCAGGCTTGGATACACAAATGCAAATTAAGATCATTTAACAATCTGGATGTTCTCTGGTAGGCCAGCCCCTGGGCTCCGCTCTGCTCTGTTCTGCGTCGGGGAGCTAATGATGACATCTATTAAGAGGTCCAGATTTAATAAAGACTGCCCAGGGCCTATTGAAGTAGAAATGTGGCATCTGGGAGAGAAAGATGTGCTACAGGTCACATAGTATACTGAGGCTGACTATGAAGCAGTTGAAGGTAGGAAAAGGATTTAATGTTGTGTTTGTCAGACAGAGAATGAGCTGGAACGAGAACAGATTTTAATTTGTTTATGGGACTGCGTACCGGTGATAGCTCTTCGGATCTCAGTGGCGGCTGCCTCCCTCATCTCCAGAGAGGCTTGCTCGCTGTACCAGGCTGTGTGCGGTGTGCAGATCAGGTTCGGAGCGTCTTTCAGCGGGCCCTGAGCAAAACTACAACACGTGGGTGGGAAGAAGGGGAAAAAAATGATGAACGTGCAGTGCTGTTTTTCACATCTATGCCGATGGGGGGGAATGTTTCTCTGTGCTCGCCTTAAATCAGACATTGTACGTATGAGCAGGATAATTTACGTTTTTTGTGCAAAAACCACATTTGACAGAAAAGACTGGTGGGTTTAGAGAGAGTTTATATATGTCTTATAACATGTCTGGAAGGGATCTTAAAGCTCTTTATGCTCACATGATTGAACAGTTGTCTTAAAAAACAATATGTGAGCAATAGCAAGTGGCAATGAAAGCGCTTGTCAAATAAATGACTGTGGTTTAGCACAAACAAACCAACAGTTGTTACATTTTACAGCCATGTATGTTCTGAAATTTAGATATCATCTGTCCACTGAGCCCTATTACACTTGCTATCCCTTTTTTGCATGGCCAAAGCAAAATTGCTATAGGTATTTCTTTGTTTTTTCCTTTCCTGTGTGACATTATAATTTATGGCAGATGACCATTCATATGTATCAACTCATTTGAAATTGTAATTAATTCCCTATTCTTTTTCCTAAAATGTTTGTGTACAATTTGCATGACAATCGTCTGGAAACATGGCCAATGGGAGAAAATGTCAGAACCTGTTATTCACACGTCACAATCTCCTCCCTCCTTTTCCAGAACTTCCTTTCTCCCTCCTCTCTGTCCTCTCATGTGGCACTGAAAAACAGATCAGCTCCAACTCCCTCTCCTCCTCTGTCAGTGTAACACCTCGCCTGGTTGTGTGTGTGTGGTGTGTGCTGTGTAACGCCTCAGCAGCACCCTGAATCAGTGTCGTGTCGCGTGGGACTGAGGGGCCACAGTTATGAAACACCCCCCCTTCCCCCCTCGTTGACATACTGGGTCAGTGAAGCACGACTCCTAGCTTCATTGGCTGAGTTTCAGCCGTCTCAAGCAGCCAGTCAGCTGAGCAGCCGGCCAGAAACAACCAGCCTCCAAACTCCCTAACTGCCCCTGGTGCATGAACAGCACATCAACACCCGTTACCCTGTGAGATGGGGAACATGATTCTTACAAAGGTGGAAAACTGGGAGGCGTGTTGAGCTGTTTGCTCTCTGGTGCAAGCAGGAGTGGAAATGGAAATGGAGACTGTACCTCAAAGCTGCAACACAGTGACTGGACGGCAGGATGACGGGGGACAAGTCTGATTTTAAACAAACTTTAATCATTTCAACTAAACTGTTTCATAAATAATCATATTCAGAAAGCTGTCCTGATATAGGCAGGCCTAAAGAAGGAGTGGATACACTCATCGTTGCACCTCTCCGCACTCAACCATCCACCTGCACCCTTAACTATATTTAGTTTCCTCTGACGGGAATAAAGTTCCATCTCCTGAATTCCATTACCTGCGGGGCCCCGAAGGAGCCTTTTAGAAGAGTATGAGGTGTCTTTTACTCGTCATGTCTGCCATTTTTGTTACCTGCCCGTCTGTCTTTCTCTTGAGCTGTTAAAGGTCTCTGTCTGTGTGTAATTTGTTGCTTTCTTTCCCTTCCTGCACACCCATCTATTTCCCTGTCAGTCGCTGTCTGAAGTGAAGCGTTCATCTGCCTGGCTTTGAGAGCGACTGTGTGTGTGTGTGTGTGTGTGTGTGTGTGTGTGTGTGTGTGTGTGTGTGTGTGTGTGTGTGTGTGTGTGTGTGTGTGTGTGTGTGTGTGTGTGTGTGTGTGTGTGTGTGTGTGTGTGTGTGTGTGTGTGTGTGTGTGTGTGTGCGCGTACTTACGTGAAGGGCTCCGTCTCGTGAACGTCCAAGGCAGCTCCACGTATCCTGCCCTCCTTCAATGCCTGGGCCAGGGCCTTCTCATCCACCAGGCCACCTCGCGCGGTATTGACCAGGAATGCACCCTGACGCATCTGCAAGTGCACAAGACACACAAATACAAAATATTAGTTAGTTACAGACATGTGATTAGGGGTGTGTGTGTGTCAGCCTGGCAGTCAAATTAATCTGTTTGATCTAAAGCGGAACATCAATCTGGATTGGATGTCTGCATTTGAGGGTCTTAAAACATATTACACGGGACAGAAATTGAGCTGAGAAAAAAAAAAAAAAAAGTCTGTGACACCTTTGTTGTGTCTGACACCTGAAAGATCCAGGAGACAGACATCACCTGGGAAAAATACTGTCAGATGTGGGATAGAGAACAGCCTTTATACAAAACCAAGAGATGAAATGAGGGTTGAGCTGAAAGATGAGGCAGCGCCATCACCCCTTGCTGCTTGTGGGGGGAAAAAAGGGCACAACAAAAAGTGTAAGGAGGAGGAAGAAAAAAAATCAAATGAATTTGCTGAGAAGAAAGTAATCCCTTAATCTTGACAAAAGCTGAAATCCAGGGGCATGAAATGCCTTTACGCTGGCAGGCAGTCTTTTATTAGGCCTTGGTGGTTTTGACACACAGAAACGCACAAACATGCACACAGACATTTCTACTTTAGAAGCTGAGACCCACTGCCAAGATTTTTGGCGAGGAAAGAGAGGAAAGGTTTCTTTTATTGCTGCACTTAAGAGGCAGCTGAGAATCTTAAGCTTTGGAAAAGACACAAAGTTAACTAGGTTAGGCTATTACCCCACACCCACTTGTGTCCTCGCGTACTGTAACTGGAAGAAGGGCACACGAGAGGCAAAACAAAGGCGGAAGACAAAGAGTGGCAACATGGGGAGACATTGACAGAAAGGAGAAGCATCTTCAGCCTGTGTAGTGCCCCAGCCTCCCTGCAGGTGTCACCCTAGGCAGCGCCTCGGAGTGCAGTTATTGACTCAGAGAACAGCACTTTCGCCCCGCAGTGCGCTCAGCCCCCTGCTGCGCAGCCTCGTCGATATATTTGCTGTAGCCGTGGGCTGGCGCTAATTGCATTTGACAGAGCAAAGGAATGAATTTGTGTCCAGCTTTGGTGGAGCTTAAGATAAAGAGCAGGGAATGTGCAGGAAGGAAGGCTGCTGCTGTTTCCTCGCTTTTTTCCCCCCTCTCTCTTTCTACCGACTATAATGCTCTTTAGGACAGCCTCCAGGCTGACAGAGTAATAATACACCAGCAGCTCTGCTTGTCTACCTGCTAGATAGCACCACATTAAGCCCAGGTCAGGTCACAGCTGCTCAATGGGATGTTCGGCTCTGTCTGGATGACACATCCGCGCGCGTGTGTGTGTGTGTGTGTGTGTTCGTGTTTTACTAATGCACCTGTTTGATGGTGAAGTCGTTGATGAGGTGGTGGTTGTGTTCGTTCAGGTTGCAGTGCAGGGAGACGCAGTCGCTCTGGTAGAGCAGGTCCTGTAGCGTGTAGACACGCTGGACACCCAGCGAGCGCTCCAGGCCGTCCTGCAGGTAGGGGTCATAGAAGATGACGTTGAAGCCAAAAACCTTGGCCCGCACCGCTACCGCCTGGCCAGAACGACCTGAGGACACACACAAACACACAGAAGTATGTTTATTTATGTACACAGTCAAACGCCGGAGCAGAGAGGCATTTATTACATTTTAGGTATTTATTTGATGCTTTCATCTAGTGCACAGATTCTGAACCTTTTTGGATCATGTTTTCAGCAACTGTCACAAACTGTATTCACAAGTCAACTGAATACCTACCAACATCACTGTAGCGAGTGATGCTTACATATAAACACGAGGATGACGCATGGACAGAATATATAGTATAACTTGAAAAATGTGAATCATATTTACTACACTACAAGCAGGGACTAGAGATGAAAAATAGCATTTACTCTGGGACATTTAAAGCAATCTTTATTATGTGTGCTATTCCTGTTAAATAAACCAATAACTAAAAATAAAGATACAGTTCACACATCATCGTTCCTGGTCTGTACAGTGTTTTTGAGGCAATACATAGTAGCCAGTCAGTAGCCAACACTGCATAGAAAGTACCAAGAGCACCAAGTCATGGACCGGTCTGTGAGAAACACAATCTAGTGTAAATGAGTAAGAGTGAAAATGACTGCAAAGGTTACTAAAATTACAGGAAGTAAAGGGCTGTAAACATATTATAATGAGTTCTACTAAATGCAGTAAACTTTATTTCTGTTGAACACACAATGATCATGAAAGAGCATAATATAAAATAGACAGTTTAACATCCTAAAAACTAATTGGCATTAACGAAGTGATTCTTTATTGGGGATCTCATCTAGAGGGCGTGAACATAAAATCCAAACAATAAAGCTGTCAATCTTTTGAGTAATTCTATACCTTCTATTGAATCACACAGCCTTTTTTCTAACATTCCATTGGTTTACACTTGAATGATCGCTCTGCCCCAACACCCTATTTGAACATAAATCATATCATTAAGGAAGTAACATTAGTAGCTGTTAAGAGAGAAAATGATTCATGAGGCATAAGCGATGGAGTCAGGATGGAGAAGTCATTTTGCAGGAATAGGACAATGTGAGGCAACTGGTTTTTAGTTGAGAGTGCGAGACGGTGAATCAGAAAGTGAATCTTTAGTGTATCGGCCTCTCCCCCTGTCTCTCACAGCCATTTGTGGCGTAGGCTGTAACTCCTGCTCAGCAGCAGCAGCTGAGAGTGTGATGGAGAGTTGGATGTTGTTGCTCGTGGAAAGGATCAATACGGGCCTTTACACTCAAGATTCTCTCTTGGTGATGGAGGATGATGTCCTGCTCTTAGGTACCATAGTCAAGGAGAATCATTCTCTCTTTTTTTGTCTTTCAATCTCAGCTAATACGACACGGCAGTGACAACAGCCTTGTAATACTTAAGCAATCAGTCAGAGCAAAAAAAAAAAAAACACCTTACCAAAGTGATAAATCTATTGGTGTATCCACTTTCCCTCAACTAGGCTTGTGTGCTTCGGCTTCAGTTACTTTATTCTGTATATTTCCCAGAACACCTTTTGACAACGCACAGAGCACAAGCATGAACTTGTTGCATTCAGCTGCTGGTTATAAGTGCAGGTTGAAAGAGCAATACAGACAGCAGCAGCGGGGGGAATGAGTTTTTCCAGACAATTTGAAACAGACAAGGTCGTCTTGTGGCTGCAGTACAATCTGATTTACAGAGGCTGCTGGGGGATGTCGAAAATGGCATCTCTACTTCTTCTACAACGATTTTATGCCTGTGTTATTGTTGGAAAATTGGTGCAAAGTGGTGGGTTTAGAGAGAAACAGTATTTCTGATTTTGAGGGATTTACAATAGTCTAATGTTTACTACTGATGTTTTCTGTATCTGAAAATATTCCAAAGTCTGTTTTGTAGCTGCACTATAAACTAGTGCTTTTATATGGATTTTTCCTTTAATATGGAGACCATATCTGTCTCCTTTCTGCATTTCTAAACCTTCCCTGCCTTCCCATACCAATCAATCCCTCTAAGAGAGAGAATATACTCAGATTCATCTGAAAGTTTCTCTGGCACCTCACTCTCAACTCTCAGTGGTAGATTATTTGCTTTGTATTGCTCATTTATCCACAGTCAAAGGACCAGGGCAACACTAAAATGTGAGACCACAATGCAAAGATTTGTGAAAGGGACTCTGTCCAACAAGTTAGGGTTAGCTGTAAAGAGCTAGTAAGTGGATCTCTAACTGAAACTGTGTCTCATTAGGGTTGCACAGCAGGCTTTTCTTTTTATTTATATGGATTCACTTCATTAGTAAAAATCTTTCAGCAATGATGCAGGGAGTTTTTACTCCATTACAAACCAATGAATTCTTATGTAGCCCAGCACAGAGTGTAAAGGCCTAAAAGGTTGGCATGGCTGGTACTCAGAGTGCTCCTGAGTCTATTGTCGCTCTAGAGCCAGAGGTTTGTTTCATTCTGTGTTTGCAGCCTGCAGGGTTGTGCAGCTGGCTGTATGTGCAGAGTCCTACAAACAAACACCAGGAGGCCTGCGCTATCCCCAACCTCCTGCTGACAATGGACATTGTTTTGGAGTCGGCTTGTGCCAGAAAGACCAGGAGAGGAGGCTGGAGGTGGGAGGATTGGGTGAGAAAGAGAGAGATTGGGGTTGGGGGGAGTTTTGGGCACAGTAAGTCTAGGAGGCAGTCTGGGACCTGTAGAAGGGAGGAGGTTGTGTGTTTGTGTGTGGGGAGTGTATGTGGACACAGATAAGGTGGCACTTGGCTTGTAAGAAGACGAAGCTTCTGTCAGCCCACTGATGTCGAGACAGGACAGAATGACATGCAAACACA